CCTATTATTATTATTATCGTCAATATTTTCATGATTATAGTAACCTGATATATAGAGATAAAGAAAAGGTTGAAAAGAAACCAACCAATCCTTGTATTTAAAACCGGCCATTTTCTCAAATGTTCCCACCTAAACCAGACAGAAACATACAAAATATCTCAGAAACATAGGAAATATCTCATAAACATATGAAACACGAAACATAGGAAATATCTCATAAACAAAATAAATATCTCAGAAACCAAGGAAATATCTCAGAAACATAGTAAATATCACAGAAACAAAGGAAACATATCAGAAACATAGGAAATATCTCAGAAACAAAGGAAATATCTCAAAAACATAGGAAATATCTCAGAAACAAAGGAAATATCTCAGAAACATATGAAATATCTCAGAAACATAGGAAATATCTCAGAAACATAGGAAATACCTCAGAAGCATAGGAAATATATCAGAAACACAGGAAATATCTCAGTAACATAAGATTTATCTTATCTTTATTAAACATAGTGCTAAACTGTAATCTTCCTGTATACTAGAGTTAACGTGTAATCTTCCACTATAGAGCTCATCTGTAATCCTCCTCTGTGTACTGGAGCTAACCTGTAATCCTCCTGTATACTGGAGCTAACCTGTAATCCTTCTGTATATAGAGCTTACCTGTAACCCTCCTGTATACTAGAGCTAACCTGTAATCCTCCAGTATACTAGAGCTAACCTGTAATCCTCATGTATACTGGAGCTAACCTGTAATCCTCCTGTATACTGTAGCTAACCTGTAATCCTTCTGTATATAGAGCTTACCTGTAACCCTCCTGTATACGAGAGCTAACCTGTAATCCTCTTGTATACCAGAGCTAACCTGTAATTATCCATTGTACTGGAGCTAACCTGTTATCCTCCTGTATACTAGAGCTACCCTGTAATCCTCCACTATGCTAGAGCTAACCTGTAATCCATCTGTATACTAGAGCTAACCTGTAATCCATCTGTATACTAGAGCTAACCTGTAATCCTCCTCTCCTGTCCAGGGCGGCCAACTGTAACCTCCTCTACGAGAGAAGTTGTATGTTAGTCTAATCCCCCAGATTGTGACTGGGAGAAGGATTAGGTAGAGACGGGGGGAGGGAGATACTAGAGCAATCTCCCATACATAGACACAGGGTAGGATACTCCACAGCTTATCCACTTGGCTAACGTTCCCGGTTAATTCACCTTTAATATGTAAAACAGATATAAACAGGGTTAACACCATAAAAAGAAAGGAATTGTCCGATCATAACTCAGGTTTAAAAGTTCTTAGTTGACAAGGTTGACTCTTAAAAAGAAAACTTTGTTTCCAGGCAAAGCTGGGTTCCCAAGCTAGCATACAATAATGTAAATAATTTTACCCAAAAAAAGGAAACAAGTTGTTAGCTATTGAAAGCATGAATGTAAAAAAAGGACTTGGAAAACAATAGTCAACGCAATAATGACATTAATTACAAATTTTAATCAAGATTAAATGGCACGTGTTAATGAGATGAACAGAGTTGAAAATATATCTTTGATTCGAGATTTGTTCTTTAGAATTAAGATAAAACTTATTTAAAATAGAAAATATTTGATGTAAAATTATAATCTTTCGATTTTAATACAAGGAAAGAGAACTGACCTAATACGAACACAAGAACTGTAAAGAATAAACAAGTTCTGGCGCAGATATCGACCACATAGGATCCGGAGCTGCTGGGAAACCTACTTAACTCGTCCAGGATCCATCCTAGATCCTAAAACACAGAACCAGAGTTATTAGTATTTTTTAATAATATTTGGAATATCAATAGGTTATGATTTATGAAACATGTCGGATCTAAACTAGTTTTAAGTCTAAAAGTATTTATGTTACAAAGAAAGGAAATTTATTGAAAACATATAAAATTAGTTTTTATTATTATAAGAATTACCTGGAGAGAATTGTTCTTATTTTGATAATGAGAATTATCTTCCTGGTTTAGGAGAACGTATCCAACCGAAGCTATGACGAAGTAAGCACAGAAAATACTCACTCTAGTTTCAGTATCAATACTAGAATACAGAGTACAGTATAATACTAGAATACAGAGTACGGTTTCAATACTAGAATTCAGAGTACAGTATCAATACTAGAATACAGAGTACGGTATCAATACTAGAATACAGAGTACGGTATCAATACTTGAATACAGAGTACAGTATCAATACTAGAATACAGAGTAAAGTATCAATCCTAGAATACATAGTACAGTACAGTAATACTAGAATACAGAGTATGGTATCAATACTAGAATACAGAGTACAGTATTAATACTAGAATACAGAGTACAGTATCAATACTAGAACACAGAGTACAGTATCAATACTAGAATACAGAGTACGGTTTCAATACTAGAATACAAAGTAAAGTATCAATACTAGACTACAAAGTACAGTAACAATGCTAGAATACAAAGTACAGTATAAATACTTGAATACAGAGAAAAGCATCAATACTAGACCACAGAGTACAGTATCAATACTAGACTACAGAGTACAGTATCAATACTAGACTACAGAGTACAGTAGCAATGCAAAAGTACAATATCAATATCAAAATACAAAGTACAGTATGAATACTTGAATACGAAATTGCAATATCTATTGTAGAAAACAGAGTATACAGCAATACTATGATACAGAGTACAGTATCAATACTAGAATACAGAGTAAAGTATAAACTATAAATACTAGAATACAGAGTAAAGTATCAATACTAGACTATAGAGTACAGTAGCAATGATAGAATACATAAGTACAGTATCAATATCAAAATACAAAGTACAGTATAATTACTTGAATACAAATTGCAATATCTATTGTAGAATACAGAGTACAGTAATACTAGAATACAGAGTACAGTATCAATACTAGAATACAGAGTACAGTATCAATACTAGAATACAGAGTACAGTATCAATACTATAAATATAGAATACAGTATGAATACTAAAATACAGAGTACAGTATCAATACTAGAATACAGAAGACAAATAAACTATAGAAGTATCAACTCTTTTAATTATACAGAGAACAACAGTATCCACAATAAAGTATTAATTATAGATACAGAGTAGAAACTGACAGTCCGTTATTGACAATATAGATTTTTAAAAACTAAATTTCTTGCTAATTCACTAGATAAATATTTTGTGTTTGTATATGTATGTGTTTTCATAAAATAATACCTCATGGTTCCAAATAATTCGTCGTAGAATAGGGTTTGAATATATAGTTACAATAGAAGTAGACTTAATGCGTACATTGTTTGAGGAAAACGTATATCTGTGCTCGGACTGAACACTGATAAGATACTGCGATATACATAACATATAGACTCTGGGTCTGTATAGTATACAGTATACAGTATACTATACTCTGACTCTGAGTCTTTCACATAGAAACTCCAGTCCTTGGGAATGAGGAAAATGAACGTACGGGCAATAGGAAGAATGGGCATGTAGATGGTACTGTAACTGCATTCAATGTTTCTTTGAGATTTAGAATTAAGAAAGGGGGCAAATAGACCTTAAATTTTTTAAGGAGGAAAAGGAGTAATAGCTAAAGAATTGAAAACAGAATTATTTTAATAGAGTACGCCAAAATGAATTATGACGATTTGTAAAGATAAAAAACAGATACATTACAGTATCTGTATTCTGTATATGTAGTTCATTATAGTAGGACTTAGACTTAGATGTTATAGGAGTAAGTAACTGCTATAACATCAGTATATATATAACGTATAGAGTAAAAATAGAGAATATGATAAGGTATAGTAGAACTTGTAAAGAATATCATAAAGTAGTGGAACATATAGAGAACATGATTAGCTATAGTAGAACTTGTGGAGAATATCATAAAGTAGTGGAACATATGGAGAACATGATTAGCTATAGTAGAACTTATAGAGATTATCATAAAGTAGTGGAACATATAGAGAATATGTTAAGGTATAGTAGAACTTATAGAGATTATCATAAAGTAGTGGAACATATAGAGAATATGATAAGCAATAATAGAACTTACAGAGATTATCATAAAGTATAGGAAGACATGGAACATATAGACTCAGATAGAGAATATGAGAAACTATGAACTTAAATAGAGAATATCATGAAGTATTGGAAAATATTGAGGCAAGGTAAGAATTTAATAAAATTATAATTCAGTATAATAATGAAACTTAACAGAGAAATGATAAAAGCAGTAGAACTATGGAGATTGTTTACAGTAGAGATGAGAGATATAATACAGAGATATGATACAGTTGCAGTAGTATGTAGAGAAGATATTATTGGAAATACGATTCAAATTTATGTAACTTAAATAGAGTAACTTATGGAAAATAAGATACAATTTAGTTGAGCGTATAGAGAACTTATAGAAAATACTAAACATAAAAAGTTATTGTAAATTGCAAAATTGTAAAAATATCTATTATTATTCCTAATGACCCTTTTTTATATAATTTTAAACTTTCCTTTTTGAACCCCAGTCTCGATTATTATTCTTACTTGTTTCGAATACGAAAACTATATCCGGTTTCAAGCAAAGACGACGCATAAACCAACTGAGAGAACTACGCGGCTTTCTGAAAGCCTTGTGCGCTCCACATTGAAATTTCACTTCCGCAGATGCCATGAGATTATTCCAAGTGTAGACTGTAGACTGAACAAACTCGTCTCAACCTGGCCTGATAGCTTCTCTCGTTATTTACCATTAAATCAGCTTGTTTTGGTGGCAAAGTCAGTAACCGTTGTTTTCCTCTGTAGATTTGCTTTTATTAAAATTTGTTAATTTCAGATAATCTCTTGAGATTGAAAATGCCGTTCGTCAAGGTTGTGAAGAACAAGGCTTACTTCAAGAGATACCAGGTTTGTAAATGTAATGCACTTAGTCTTCTAATGATTCTATCGTAAATGGGTAAACGCGACTACATTATTTATTGTTTTTTTCGATGTATTCTGCGTATTCCGCTTTTCTTAATTGACATGTTTTTTTTCCTAGAGGATGAATTTTGGACCTATTTCGTTCTCCAGGACTTACCCGATATTACCTATTTTAAATGTGTTTTTTTTTTAAATCAAAACCAGGAGGCCGTTCTTTCCATAAACTACGTTGGCGGACATCTTAACGTCTCCTATATCGGTTGTTAATTTTTTGGAGAAACTTTGTATTAAAGCACAATACGTCTAGCGAAGCACGTAAACTACACTGCCTCTTTCGAATGAGAGAACGGGCTCAGCAGTGTGCGATTGAAGTGTATCACCACGTGGACAACTGTTCTTGTTCGTAATATTCATATTACGCTCATTTCTTTCAGGTTAAGTTCAGGAGGCGTAGGGAGGGAAAGACCGACTACTTTGCCAGGAAGCGTCTTGTCATCCAGGACAAGAACAAGTATAATACGCCCAAGTACAGGCTTATCGTGAGGTCATCAAACACCGATATCTGCTGCCAGGTGAGTTCTTGTTCCGTCATTCTCTCTTATATGTTCTTTATTTTCATTTCACCGAATTGAGACAAATAATTACTTTGTAAAGTGAATATATACCAAGCTGTTAAAACGCATCGCGCCCATCTTCTATTTCAACTTTTTATTGTGGCTTTAACTCGGAGCATTTTCTCATTGTACAGTTTAAAACAAAAATTTTGCCTACCTAAGACATCTTTTCGCACATTCAAAATTTTACGGAAGTAAAAACATTTTAAAATTTTTTTTTAAATTTTGATCATTCAAACCTTTCCTGGGTCACGTGAGGTCCCTCAAAATTTGGGCCCGATCGGCTCAGCCATTGTGACGTTTATTGGATACAAAAACAGATTAAAACAGACAAGACACAAGCTGAATTAATATATAGATGAGAAATTTTATCTCTTACTCTTACTTTACCTTTTGTACAAAACTCACATTTACGCATATTTTTCTAACTGTCAAGTGGTCAAATTTTCTCAAATGCCTAGTTTTCTCGTGACAAGTCATATATTAAGTAGTGTTTTTTCTTAAACTTCACATTTTTGTAAATTAAGTTGTTTGTCCAAATCGTTATCTTGTATCTAAATAGATATTTTCCCTCACTCCACCTGGGAGGCCTAACTTGTTCGATGCGGTTAACACCCCCTCCCCCAGCCATTTTTGGCGTGTTCATCAAGATTCGACTGAATATTAATGTGTTATAGATCGCGTATGCTCGTCTTGAGGGAGACTACATTGTGTCCGCTGCCTACTCTCATGAGCTCCCACAGTGAGTATTAATTAAACTTTTAAAATCAACTGTTAGAATGATGATAAACCACAGACCTGTATTGAAATTAAATGAAACTAAAAAGTTTTCACTGATATCCGATTTTCTCAAATAATTTCTTAACAATCAATGAATTGCATTGAACCATATTTAATTCCAGGTACGGAGTTAAGGTTGGTCTGACCAACTACGCTGCTGCCTACTGTACCGGTCTGCTCTTGGCCAGGAGAGTTCTCCAGAAGTTCAACCTTGACAAAATGTATCAGGGCGCTTCAGAAATCAACGGAGATTACTTCTGTGTAGAGGATCAGGATGATGGTCCCGGAGCCTTCAGGTTAGTCCCTCCCCTCGCCTTACGGAAATTTGAGCCTTTTCTGAGATCTCCGATATATACATAAACGCTGACTAAATGTATCTTCTTGAATTACGAAGCGGTTGAGAAGTATTCGTGTGCAATACCGTTCTTGGTTTATGTTATGTTTGCGAATAAATTGACTTTTATTTTAACAAACAATTTCTTGCTATATTAGTTTTTTACGACTTTTGTTCTTGTACTCAGGTGTTGTCTGGATGTTGGTCTTGCCAGGACCTCTACCGGAGCTAAGGTATTCGCTGCCATGAAGGGAGCTGTCGACGGAGGTCTGGACATTCCTCACTCTGTGAAACGTTTCCCCGGATACGACAACGAGGAGAAGTCTCTGAATGCTGAGGTTCATAGGAACCACATCTTCGGACTTCACGTTGCCGAGTACATGAAGCACTTACAGGTTGGTTTTATTCACTTTTCCCCTTATTTATGTTTTTAATCAACATTACTTTAAAATGTTCTGGAAAAGTTTAATTCCAGCCATTATTAACCCTATTTCGCTCTTTTTTTTGTGAAGAACTGATGTTTTGTTCATTTTAACTAAATTTTGCTGGCTATTACACATATTTGGTTCACTCTGTTCTGTTGATTATTATTCGATCATTGTTCAATTATTTCAATGAATTCTCTTAATTATCTTCAATATTTAAACTTGCCTTGTTCAGGAGGAAGAGGAGGAAACCTACAAGAAGCAGTTCTCCAGGTTCATCAAGAACGGAATTAACGCAAATAACATTGAGGAAATGTACAAGAAGGCTCACGCCGCCATCCGTGCTAACCCTACCCACAAGGCTCCCGTCAAGAAGTCCATCACCAAGAAGAGGCATAACGCTAAGAAGATTGGTCTGGCCGCCAGGAAGGCGAAGATTGCCAAGGCAAAGGAGGAGTTCTTGTCCCAGATCGAGGCACAGAAGGAGTAAATATTGTTTCTGGATCCTGGTATCTAGAAGTTTTAACAGTTAAAACTGTTTCAGATATCATGAAGGAGTGTTCATAACGGAAAGATGAGAGCTGAAGAGGATTGGATTGAAACCTTGAGCTAACCATGGTTGATGTATACAGGTCAGAAATAGCTATCAATGTTTGAATGTTTTAGTTTAGATGATGACATCCTAACCCTGAAAACTCGTGTAGGTTATGTGATTTAATGAGCCTGATATAAACGTTGAAGTCAAGTTTCGGTATTTTTAGATTTTATTTGAAAATTATTTTAATTCAGAAACGATTGTGTCGGGAGAAGAAACTTATCTCGTATAGAAGTAAACCCTTGAGCAGTACTACCGATCTGGACTGGAAGGCTTTCGGACAAAGCTGAAACTATTACCTAATTATCAGTCACAGGATTCATCCGAGACTGTACTAGACAGGTAGATGATTAATGATTATCTTGCATCCTTATATGGTTTTAATGATGACAATTTATATCCTTGACAAACCATGGAAGCAAATGATTTAATGAGCCTGATTTTGTATATTTCTCATTTCATAAATCTAATTTACAATGAAGGCTAATTTTTTTTTCTCGTTCAGGATGATGTGCGTGAGTGGTATGAACTGAGGAAGATTGGCTGAACACAGATTTATTGCAACTAAAAAGTTTCATAACGACAATATTAAATCAAGTTTATTTTCAGATTTTTTCTCTAAAGAAAAGATGAGAGCAAAGTGGAGGAAGAAGCGTATGCGCAGGCTAAAGAGGAAAAGGAGGAAGATGAGGGCACGTTCCAAGTAGACTACTTGCTCCACCTCTCTAACGCTCTGTCCGTGTTCTATGTGTTGATCATGAGCTGAACGTCCCGAGGGATGTGTTCAGATTTCTCCCGGATTTGTCTTGCGGCTGTCTCCGGTCTGGTCTGTTCACAGCGGATCCTGATATTCTCACGAATGTTACCTGATCTGTTAATAAATACTAAAATCACAAATTCTTACTTAAATTAGGTTTAGAAAGTAGTTGGATGATTACATGATGAATTATTGAATTAGATCATTAAATAAACTTTAATTAACAATTAGGTTTAGAAAGTAGTGGAATGATTACATGCTGAATTATTGAATTAGATCATTCATTAAACTTTTATTGACAAAGGTATAATCTTAATTTACGTCTACTTTCAAACATAAATTTTTTCTGCAAACATCAGATCTACATTAAATAGCCTGAAATTAAAACTTCCTATTTTCAGCATGCTTCTATGCTTCTTTCAGATTAAGGTGAGAATAGGTGTGGTCCAGGATTAATTTAGACAGAGGTGAAAAGAGTTGTTCTTGAATTTAAATTTTTCAGAAAAAATGGCCGCTCAATTATTTAACAGACTTGGACAATTGGGATTGGGAGTAGCTATTGCAGGCGGTGTCGTTAATTCCGCCCTTTTTAATGTGGACGGAGGGTATAGAGCTGTCATGTTCGACAAGTAAGATTAGACACGTGGGGTTTAAGCAAGATGGAGTCGAGACAAAATGGCGGCCTTAACTATCTTGAAAAATGCTTTATAAGTAGATAACAAGTGCTAGTTAATGGTTTTTTAATACGATGGTGTAAAAAATGGAAAATGGAATTGCGTAAAAATGTCATTTATTTATAAGGGTTATTTGAATTCATAAGCTTATTTTTTGTCAAAAAATTAATTTTGATTTGATAAACTATAAGTCGTTTTTTTATTTAAAGAAATTGGTAAAATTGTAAGAAGTAAATAGTTCATAGAGTAAGGAAATTAAACGATTGATGTGCGAGTTTAAATTGTGTGTAAATCAATCCGGTTTAAAAAATGAAATGAAATCTCGCCGATAAATATAATAGTTGCGAATTGGCCAAACTTATTTATTTCAATTTGGTAATCGTTATCATTTATTAGATTTTTCTTTCAAATCGAATGAACTACTTTCTAAGAGGAAAATAAAATATTGATTCAAATAGATTTGTCAATTATTTAACCGAATGCATTATTACTTCAGATTAAGTTTATTCTAGAAATATATAAACTTTTTTTGAACGTTTTACAGATCTAAGGATCTAAATAATTCCCAAAGACCTCTGTTTAGTGTTTATGTGAGGTTACTAGAAGTCCTGCAAATATTAGACTCCGGTTTTAAACTTCAATATTGGTGTGCAAATCTAACAAATAATATCTTCAACGATATTTATTTTTAAGCTGTTGAACATTTATTTGTCAATCTTTATTCTTTCGACTTAAAAATACTGGAAAACCATAGTGTTATTCTTTCTAAATCACTCCTATATGGAACGGGATTCTAACACAATCACATTTTATTACAAACTAATTCGATAGTTTAATTTCTCAAAGAAAATTAATTTATTTAACCGGTGAATTACTTCTCCTTTATCGACATGATTAAGAATCTAAAAAGAAAATCTAAGGTTTTCTTATGTTGAATAACATAATGAAAAGGATTATTACAGAACTAACAATGTCTTCACAAGTCGCCCAATTATTTAATCGTCTTGGGCAACTAGGTCTGGGTGTGGCAATTGCCGGCGGAGTTGTGAACTCCGCCCTATTTAACATCGACGGGGGTCACAGGGCAGTCATGTTTGATAGGTAAGCTGAGTAAAGAGTTGAGCGTTTTCCCTTGAATCCACGTAGGGATGGTTTCTTTGGATAAATCAAGACATTATCTAGAGAAACCAGAAAACGCGCAACCCTTGAGTGAAACAGAATATTTGCACCATTATTCATTCATTCATCCTACTCATCTTACTCAACCATTCGCTGTTATCCAGTGGATGGAGTTCAAAGTCATCAACATTTTTTGGGGGTTAAACTGACTTAAAATTTTAAGCAGAACTGATTTTGGCCAAAATGCAATCAAAGCAAAAAGTTCAAAATCCTAGATCCGTTCTAAAATATAGATACTCGTATGATTAGGTCTTAGATACCAAATAATTTATTCTCTTAAATGCAAAAAGCATTTATTATGTATCTATTTTATCATTTTTTTCAGTCAACTTGAAACATTTTTATTATTCATCCAATCCAATTTTTTATATCTTTTTAAATTATCTTTATCGTAAACATCGAGTACGTTGATTTTTCGTTAAAGCTAAATTAAAAAACAAGTTTGAAAGTTTCGTTCTTTCTAGGTTTCAAGGTGTGAAGGATGTTGTTATTGGAGAAGGAACCCACTTCATGATTCCTTGGGTTCAGATGCCAATTATCTTTGATATCAGAGCTAGACCAAAGAACGTCCCTACTATTACAGGTATGATCCGAATCTGGTTTGTCTAAAACTTCATTTCGATTTTTAAAGAAAAAAAGTTTGAATTAAAATTGGTCACGTATATATTCATGAAATATATAAAATACTTCAATATAGATCTTTACTAAACTCAGATAGCATTTTTCGCTAATTTCTATGCCCTGATGTTTCATTTACGTAAGATAGGTGTAAAAGAACAAACATTTTTTTCATAACTCGATTTCTACCTCTTGCATCCGAAGTTTTTCTTAAAATTGAATATGTTCAGGATCCAAGGATCTTCAGAACGTAAATATAACCTTGAGGATCCTGTACCGACCTCTCCCCAGTGCTCTTCCTAATATATATACAACCCTGGGACAGGATTATGATGACAAGGTTCTTCCTTCCATCACTAATGAGGTGAGAGGCGCTCAGTTGACACCGAGATAAACGGGAAATTTGGGAAGAGATCTGATTTATTGATTTCCCCCTGAAAATCATTTATTTTCCCCAATTAAGCGATTAAATCTTAAATGTCAAAATTTGGACTTTCGATCTCGCCAAAAGGTTTGATAATTTTAATCGCTGATTTTTATCATTTTGGAGGAAATAAATGTTTTGAAAGAACAGATGAACCCTCGGATAAAATATATTTTAAAAGATTCTATGTTTATTTGCCATACGGGTTTCGAACAGAAGTATTTATCTAAAAAATCACTCCCCTCCCCCCCCCCCATTCAGAAAATAATTTTCCCACTCAGAAGTTATATTGATATGTATATTTTTGTCTGAATGGGGAAAATAAATAATTGTTAGGGTAAAAAAGGTAAACTTGAAAGAAAAAACTTGCCTTTTGATGTTCCATTTTTCATTTCCCCCCAAAATCATCAAAAATATTCTCACCCCCCAGCCTCCTGGGTGCTAGGGGTAATTCTGGAAAATATACACCCCTGCCTTTGATTATAATTTTTCTATATACGGCCCGCAGGGGAATCTTTAAAAGTATATCCCCGTCCAATTTAATTTTGAGCTGGTTTTCAGGTGCTAAAGGCGGTTGTTGCCGAGTTTGATGCCGGAGAATTGATTACCCAGAGAGAAACCGTCTCCCAGAGGGTCAATGACGAGCTTACCAATCGAGCTGGTCAGTTTGGAGTTATCCTAGACGATATTTCTATTACTCATCTTACTTTCGGAAGGTAATCGCAGTTTGTAATTTTTAACCGAATTTTCTTAAAACTCACTCGTGCATCCAATTTGAAGGATTTTGTTCAGAATTAGTCAATTTCATGGTGTTATTTAATCAATTGAAATATAAACAATATTCTTAATATCTCTGGTTATTTTTGAAAGCACAAAAAAAGCAGACCACAATTTGGAAATGCCAGGACTAGGGCTATCCGTATTTTGAAGAGCACTTGAATATTCACATTTTTTTTCAGAGAGTTCACAGCAGCTGTTGAGCTGAAGCAGGTAGCCCAGCAGGAGGCAGAGAAAGCCAGGTCAGATCAAATAATCAATCAGCTATTCAAGCCAGTTCAGATCAAACAATCAATAATTGATTCATGCCAGTTCAGATCAATAAATCAATTGAATAACGTCAAGTCTGATTATTTAATCATACGATTTAACCAAAGTCAGATCAGATAATTAACAATCGATTAAAGCCGGTTCAGATCAAATCTATTGAATCAATAGAATGACGCCAGGTCAGATCAATTAATCAAATGGTTTAAGCGAGATCAAATAATAATTACTTAAATTAAGCCATGTCAGAATCTGTTAGTTAGAATTGTACAATCAAACGTGAACCTACTGGTCTGCACAAAGGCTAATAGTCCCAGATTGTTTTTATAACTTTGTGAAGCTTTGCTCAATAACAACATGATAAGCAAAAAATAATAAGTAGTGCTTCGGATACAGGATTTTGCTCCTGATTCAGGAGTTTTGCTCCTGATACATGAGTTTTTTTTTTTCTCCTGATACCCGAGTTTTTTCTCCTGATGCAGGAGTTCTGCTCTTGTTCTGGGAATACATCAGGGGTGTATATTTTCTTGAAAAACGCATTCCCCTCCCCCTTTTTGAAATTACTCCCCCTCCTCAAGTACTTGGGTATGTGGATTGTTTAGGGTTTTTTGAGGAAAAGAACGAAATAACTTGCCAATTGCTGTCCAGTTTTTCATGTCTCCTCTAAAATCATCAAGTTTGATCATTTAAATTTAGATATATCCGATTGAATTAAATCCTGTTCAGATTTCTGGTAGAGAAGGCGGAGCAGATGAAGCTGGCCAGTATTATCGCGGCGGAAGGAGATACTGAGGCGGCGGAGCTTCTTGCCACTGCTTTCGGCAAAGCCGGAGAGGGATTGGTAAGATATTCCCCGCGTTAACTGAGATTTTGAATAAAAGTATTAGTTAATTTTTGAATTTTCAAATAGTGTTCATCTAAAAGCAATGTAGAGTACAATGACTTAATATAGTTCATTTTTAATCGATTACTTCAAGTTTACTTAACGTTAGCGGTATATTTATTAAAAAACAAATGCGAAGCATCATTTGCTTGATAAAAAAATTGAATTTTAGTTGATTTTTTTGACAAATTAAAATCCATTATTTTCACAAACATTTATTTCCGAAATAAGTTAAAAGTTAGCATTAGGAACGAAGACTTTCTAACATTTTTTTAAGGGCATATGACGGAGTGTATATTTTCTCAAAAAATAGAATTTTTCCCAAAAGTAAAATATTTTTAAGCGGAAATAAAAAAAAAAATTTCGTTTTATGTATTAAAAGTATTAAAAAGAATGAGGCTTATTGATGTCAATATTTCATCCCCCCCCTTCCCATATTTAAAAAATATATATCCCATGGTTATAATGTTGGGGATAGTGATTTCTTGTCCCAAGCTCAACTGACAAATACATAACTAACTGTTAAGGTTGAGCTGAGAAGAATTGAGACTGCTGAGGAGGTTGCCACCCATATGGCCCAGTCAAGGAATGTTGTCTATCTCCCCTCCGGCCAGCAAACTCTGCTCTCCCTACCTCAGTAAATACTCGGCTAAAAAACCTACTCCGAGATCAGGAATTCTAATCTGGAATCCGGATTTTTGAACTTTGACTCTAATCGGTATTCTATGAGGTAGAACCGCCATGATCCCGGTAGTAGCGGGATGAAACTGTCCTGTCTACCCTGAGCTATAGATAAACCTGGACATATCGCTTGTTTGTATTGATTAGCGAGTCCAGAGGCATTTTGTGATACATTCAGATTCTCTTGTAAGTTGTAATGGTCGAATAAATTTTAACTTATGAAATTTGATTTATTTTACGACTACAGCCCTCTTACGTAAATTATTTTGTTTATTTATCCGTACTTGGGGACAGTAAATACTTCCTAATTATTCAATTTCTGAGCATTTATATAAATTATAAGCCTATAAGGTGAAACTGCCAACTGTAGCTGATTTTGCCCTTGGAACTGTGGAAAGCTTGTATGCAACGAATTGGCTGTCGAGAAGTATTTTTCTGCTGCTCTATTATTATATCTATTGGCTGTCAAGAAGCATTGTTCTGCTGCTCTATTATCATTATATCTATTGGCTGTTGAGAAGTATTGTTCTGCTGCTCAATTATTATTATATCTATGGGCTGTTTAGAAGTATTGTTCTGCTGCTCTATTATTATTATATCTATTGGCTGTTGAGAAGTATTGTTCTGCTGCTCTTTTATTATTATATCTATTGGCTGTAGAGAAGTATTGTTCTGCTGCTCTATTATTATTATATCTATACAATTCTCTTGTGGCTTGATAATTTTCTTCTCTTTCTAAAATTACTTNTGTTATTGATATTGAAACTATAGTAACAAGCGTCGAGTGCTCAACAACCTTGCTTGAATTAATCGCAATACTTAAAAAATTTTAAACTACTGAGCAAGGATGGTATTATGTGGTTAATGGTTATGAAGTAGACGTACAATTTGCAAGCAGCACCATCTCTGTCGTACGCATATGGCATTTCATCCTCGTGGAGTATTGCTTTTTCTATTCATTCGTGGTAACACCAAATGTGTATTTAGGTACTACTGTTACCATGTTACAATTTTAAAGTTTCAAAAGTGGTATGAAAAGAGATCTAAAGCCTGAAAGCTGATGTGAGTAAATCTACAGTCTAGGAAAAATGCATTTTCAAGAATAAAAATGAACAAATTAAATAATGCTAATGAATCATGGAAAGCATGAGCTCTTTGACAGACTCTCCGCCTTTCATCCGCCTCTTCCAACAATTTTCCGTCTTTCGACTCTTTGTGCTCACTGAATCTATTTCGGTTTTAGCCCCGGCTGATTCTATTTTCTCCTAAGCCGTGGTTCATTCCTATTGGCTTGAATTAAATCTAGGATCTGTGGTAACAGTGGCTTCGGTTATCCACGCATTCAAACATGAGTTCTAATCATGTTTTCTGGGTTGGCATTTTCTAACGACAAATATTTCTCCACCTTGGCGACTTATCATCCGCCCCACTTTCTGTCTGACCTATAGCTATATACAAAAGAGGCCGGACTGCTTGCAATCCGAGCTTAGCTCCGGGTCTTTATGAGGACTGAAGGGGTTAGATCAATAGAACTATTCAATCTGAGTTTAGCTCCGAGTTCGTGTGAGAATGGAGGGGGTGACATCAATGGAACTTTCCCTATTCCAAGCTATTGAGCTTACACCGGTTACAATATATGTAGTATCAACAACGTATACTGCAAATTGAACATGATGAAATAATGATATAAGGCAAATGAAACAAAGGTTTGAATTTTGCGAGACCAAGTTATATCACAAATTTAACAACTATAAAATTGTTCTACTAGGTTTATCAATATTTTTGTGGGAAAGATGATGGCCCAGTTCATTTTTTTCTATTCATTGATTATATTTTTTCCAAATTTTCAACGTTTTAATCATCTGGAGAACAAAAAAATGAAATTGAAATTGTCAAAAATTCATAGTTTTGAGCTGCGTAGTGAGTAATATTCAATTTAGTCAATCAATTGACCTGAAAAAGACTTAAAGGGTATGTTTATACTCGCAATAACAATAATTGTTATTTTTCGTTTAAAAGGAAATTAAATGTAAAATTCTTATATATAAATATGGAAACTTTAAAAATTCCCCAAAGACTTTCAAAATCTCCAAAATCTGCACTTTTGGGGGATGAAATTCCTGAATTCACCTTCACATTGATCAGATTCATCTACACATTAATCAGATTCACCTACACATTAATCAGATTCACCTACACATTGATCAGATTCACCTTCACATTGATCAGATTCACCTACACATTAATCAGATTCACCTTCACATTGATCAGATTCACCTACACATTAATCAGATTCACCTACACATTAATCAGATTCACATACACATTAATCAGATTCACCTACACATTTATCAGATTCACCTACAGATTAATCAGATTCACCTACACATTAATCAAATTCACCTACACATTAATCAGATTCACCTACACATTAATCAAATTTACCTACACATTAATCAAATTCACCATATACATTAATCAAATTTACCTACACATATCAGATTCACCTACACATTAATCAGATTCACCTACACATTAATCAGATTCACATACACATTAATCAGATTCACCTACACATTAATCACTGATCAGATTCACCTACACATTATTCAAATCATCAATTTTGTACCTTCTAACCAATCAATCATATCCATTAATCCCCATCTTCTTATCAATCCTACCTTCTTATCTGTCAATCCCACCCTAGCAATCTATGTCCTACTTTCTTATCAACCAATCCAACCTTCTTATCCGTCAATCCCACCTTCTTATCTATCAATCCCACTTTCTTATCCACCAATCCCACCTTCTTTACCGTCAATTCACCTTCTTATCTGTCAATCCCACCCTAGCAATCTATCCTACTTTCTTATCAACCAATCAAACCTTCTTATCCACCAATCCCACTTTCTTATCCACCCATCCAACCTTCTTATCCATCAATCCCACCTTCTTATCCACCAATCCCACTTTCTTATCCACCAATCCCACCTTCTTAACCGTCAACCCTACCCATCCCACTTTCTTATCCACCAATCCAACCTTCTTCTCCATCAATCCAACCTTCTTATCCACCAATCCCACTTTCTTATCTACCAATCCCACCTTCTTAACCGTCAATCCTACCTTCTTATCAATCCATCCCAACTTCTTATCAGTCCATCCATTCCACCTTCTTATTAATCAATTCCACCTTCTTATTAATCAATTCCACCTTCTTATCAGTCCATTCCACCTTCTTATTAATCAATTCCACCTTCTTATTAATCAATCCCACCTTCTTATCAATCAATCCCATCTCTTATCAATCCATATCCTACTTACCAATCCATCCAACCTTCTTATCAATCAATCCTACCTTATCAGTCGATCCTACCTTAGAACTGTACTATAGTTCATTAAGCCTACCATTAATCACCAATTATTATGAATCAATTACCTAGTTTCTTATTAATCAATTCAATCAATCCTGCTCTCCCGCGATCCCTGCACACAATTCACCTTCCTAAGATCCTACATCTATTATCTGTTCTATCTTTTTTATCTAACTATCCACCCCAAAGAGGGAGGGAACCCCCCCCCCCCCCCGGACGCCATGAGCCTCCAACCCTGCAGACAAGAGCCTTCCAAATTTGCTAGGCAGACCGACCTCCACTATGCAGTAACGAGCCTTTGCCATACAGACCGAGCCTCCGCTATGCAGTAAACGAGCCTTCGCTTTAAAAAGAAGTACTCTTTAAAACTCTTGTTTCGTATGTATAATAAAATGTTTTTGACAATTCTGTCGAGATAGTGCCATGAGAGGTTTTTCAAAAATGATCAATTAGCATATATATAGTGCCTAATTATGACTAATAAAGTGGTATTTGAAACTTTAAACATTTTTTACACGAAAAGGAAAATATTTAGAGAAAAAAACTTGAATTGATTCATTTCATCTTTTATAATTTTTGATTTAAGCAATACCTTTTTTGTAGTTCAAACTAAATCTAAAGAATTTGTATCATTAAGTCTTAACATTTTTCAAAAAAGGTATCGAGGTTTGGTGGGTCGATTAAATCAAAGATTATAACAAAACAAACTATGAGTTTACTAAAGAAATATTTCTCCAAATATCTTACTTTCTGCGTAAGAAATGTTAAAATTTTTAGTATAAATCTTATAAACCACTTTATGAGTTCATATTTGTTTCTAATCATGACAATAAAAAAATATTTCTAATCTTTAGTAAAATTCTTATGCCACATACGCCAAAACAAATGTTTTTATTAAACATAAAAAGCAAGATTTAAAAAAAGCTGTGCTGTTGAGTGGAGGCTCATTTACTGCATAGCAGAGGCACGGTCTGCATAGCGGAGGCTTGGTCTGCATAGTTGAGGCTCGATCTGCCTAGCAAATCTGGGAGGCTCGTGTCCATGCATAGTGGGGGCTCAATGGCGTCCGGGGGCTGCCACCAATTTCACCCCTCGCGTAAGTGGGCGCAGTTCTAATGTTAAAGCATATATAAAGTTCCTCCTCCCCCGTCTTTAAATTCATTAGTTAGTGGAGTCAGGTCCAGTTCAGGAAGTTCCTGGTCGTGGAGTATGGCGGATTTGCGTAGGTCGAAAAAAATTTCGACCTACACATATCCGCCATATACTCCACTTCTGACCTACGCCAAATCCGCTATACGACACATCCGACATACTAGCACGTGGTATTACAGCTGCTATATGGAATTGTGGCCGCAGCGCCCGGCCCCCTGTAGCCTGTCCTAGCCGCGGCGCTCGGCCCCCTTATAGCCTGTCCTATAATAGCCGCACGTTCGGCCCAGAAATTGTCTTAACCTAACCTAACCCTCAAATAATACTTAATTAAACAGCTGGCGTAGGTCCAATATTGCAGTAGGTCGGAAAGTTAGTAGGTCAGAAGTTCAGTAGGGGGTATGTTGCGTATAGACGATGTAACATTACCCTTCTGTGATGTGATGTAAATATCATGAGGAAAGTTTCGCTCTTGTAAGAGCAAAATATTGTAACGCGGCAAACAGCACATTCACAAATTTGGAATTGGATGGTCAAAGTTTTGTAAAATCCAAAAACAAATCTGAATCAAATGATTGGTATAGAAAGCCTGGATGCGAAAGCAAGTGTTTCGTCAGAATTCAATGAACTTAAAGACGAGTTAGGTTTGTTTATTTTTTAGTTAAATGCATGGTACAGAAGTGAACAACTAATAAACATTTAATACTTAAGGTATATTCTTAGAGAAAGATTTTTGTACCTGTTCTTTAGGACCGACCCTTTTTGTGATCTGTTACAAGAATTAATGACTTAAAAGTGTGTATCGTGCCTACTTTTTGATACTGAAGCTTTCACTTGGCTTTGAAAGCATCAAAAAGTTGAAAAATTCTTTTAATTGCATTGCACGAGCCTTATTTGATTTAATTCTTGAAGATATCAAGATTTTGCACCCTGGGATTAGAAAATCTAATAGTCTAAAAATTTAGACGAACCTGACGAATTAGAAGAACTAAGTTCTTATACTCTCACTACTCTAGTTCAACCTCTAGATAGCATTCATCCCGGGGATCAACCTAATCTATCATTAGCAAGGTAGGAATGGAGTTTTAACTTAAAAAAGTAGAATTAAGTCAAGTCTCGAGCAGGGGCGTACGAGGGCTTTTGTTTAGGGGGGGGCACAATTTGCGCGCCTAAGCGCGCAAAAAAAATTTTTTGGTCCCCCCAGTTGCTCACTATCGAAATATAATAATA